TGGGTTCCCTGCTCAGCGGGGAGCCTGCTTCTCCCTCTCCCACTGCCCCCTGCTTGTGTTCCCTCTCTCACTGTCTCTCTGTCAAACAAATAAATAAAATCTTTAAAAAAAATAATGGGCAGTATCTACTACTGTAAGATCCCTCATGGCTCATTCCTCACTTCCCTCAAGTTGACTCAAGCGCTACCTTTCCATGGAGTCTTCCCTTCCCTGATCACCCTTTTAAACATTGCACCCCCCGCTCTTTGATTCTTCTCCAGAGCACTCATCACCTTCTCATCTACTGTCCGTTTATTTTAAAAAGAAAATTGTCTCATGTCCTCCCACTCTAGTGGACACCCCATGGAGGGTAGAAATTATTAAAAAACAAAATTCAACTGAGTAGATTTAAGTACCAAGTTGGCTTGCAAATAGAAAGGAGTTCTGAAGAGCTGAGCAAAGTGGGAGACTTTTTATAGTGTCAGGGAGCAAGAATTCCTGTCCCCTCAAAGGTCCTTCTAGCTGGACTAAGAATCAAATTGGCATGAGACAGCTTAACAGGAGAGATAATCAAATTTAATAAAGCATATGTACAGGGAATCCACATAGACATGGAAATGCCAAAGACAGGCAGAATGAGGTATATACATCATTCTGAATTAAGGAGAAGGGGGTACCGGTCTGTTATTTCAGGGTAAAGGAATGCATTTAACAGGGTGATAAGAAGAGCAGATGTTTGGTAATTAGATGTTTGCCCTACCATACGGTTGAGTTACTCATAAAATTTATCTCTGCTAATAACCCTTGCTGGGAAAGACCCCCAATTTATATTCTTCTTCGTAGGGAGGGACAAAAGTTCCTCTTGAGCCCAAAGGGTCTCAAGTGCCTTCAGCTTGAAACAGTCCCCATGTTAGAGTGGCACATTGGTGCGGGGCTGTCCTGAACCCCTTCAAGAGGCAGAAAGAGGCATGAACAAGGAAAAAGCAGAGTATCTCATCTTTGGGGGCCGAAAGCAGTCTATCAAGTGGATTACCTCATTAGTGCTGACCAGGAAATTCCGGATTTACTGATTTAAGATTACATTCTTGGGAGGGGCGCCCGGGTGATGCCATCGATTGAGCATCCAACTCTTGGTTTCCGATCAGGTGATCTCAGGGTGCTGAGATCAAGCCCTGGGTGTTGGGCTCTGTGCTCAGCGCAGAGTCTGCTTAAGATTCTTTCTCCCTCTGCCCCTCCCCCACCAAATAAATAAATCTTAAAAAAAAAAAAAAGGATGAATATTACATTCCTGGGAGAAGTTGAAACTGAAATTAGGTTAAATGTTAAGTCTTGGTTTGCCGATGTGGGGTTTACCACAAGTGACTCCATTGTGAGCTTGTTGACTTTTTCTTTTTCTTTTTTTTTTTTTTTTTAAGATTTTATTTATTTATTTGACAGACACACAGCGAGAGAGGGAACACAAGCAGGGGGAGTGGGAAAGGGAGAAGCAGGCTTCCCGCTGAGCAGGGAGCCCGATGCGGGGCTCGATCCCAGGACCCTGGGATCAGGACCTGAGCCAAAGGCAGATGCTTAACGACTGAGCCACTCAGGTGCCCCTGACTTTTTCTTTAATTAAATGTTTACTTCTTTGTTCACTGCTGTGGCCCCACTGCCCACAACCGTGCTTCACACATAGTGGGTGCTCAGTAAATATTTTTTAAGTAACTTGAGCAAAGGGCAGACCTGGATGTAGCCTTAGAAGTAAGTCATCAAGTTCACTAGTCTTCAAACTTCTTTCAAGTGAAATCTGACATGGAAGACCTATATTGAAACAGATAAAAAGGAACAACATCCTAGTACTGTGTGCAGGTGTCCTGGCGGGGTCCCCCTCCTTGTGTTAGTCTTGTGTGCTTTTCCAACACTACTGAGCAATTCTCCAATTCTCAATGGACATTGATTGGTGTCCTACAGATGTAACTCAATTCTGACTCGACCTGAAGATAGTGTCAGAAGCCACAGGCCAAGTGCTCAGTCCCACAAACCTGCACTCCCCCCCCCTCCACTCAGATGTCTAAATTCCAGGTTGTTACCTGTGCTTTTGACCAACCAACCGGTTATAAACAGGAGGTTCCCATGACCCCCGTGCTCAGATTCAATTAATTTGCTAGAGCAACTCACAGAACCCAGAAAATCAGTTTACTTACTAGATAACCAGATAACTAATTACAAAGGCTATTGAAGGCTACAAATGAACAGCCAGATGAAAGATTCATAGGACAAGGTAGGTGGGGAAGGGGCACAGAGCTAACGAGTACTCTCTGAGCAGCCAGTCTCCCCATACCTTCACGTGTTCACCAGCTCACAAAGCTCGTTAAACCCCACCCTGCGTTTTTATGGAGGCTTCATTACTTGGGCACGGTTGATTACATCTTCGGCCATTGGTGGTGGAGCTGGATCTCAGGCCCCTCTCCTCCCCCAGGAGGTCAGGGGGTGGGGCTGAAAATTCCAATCCTGTCTTTGTTGGTTCTCTGGAAACCAGTCCCCATCCTTAAAGGCTTTTCAAAAGTCATCATTAACATAAATTCAGGTGTGGCTGATAGGGGCTTGCTATGAATAACAAAAGGTGCTGCTTTCACCTTTATAGCACTTACCACTTGGGAAATACCAAGGGTTTTGGAAGCTCTGTGCCTGCAGGAGGACCAAATATCTATTTCTTACTGTAAATCACAATATTACACTTAGCGACAGAAACACTGAGCCCAGAGAGGGGATGTCCCTTCCCCCACATAACAGACTTCTTCCTGGAGAGAGTATTGATCTTTTGTTTGGGAAAGTATCTCAAGAGACCTATTGATTTTGCAAAGGGATACCTGCTGAGGGGCCAACCTTGCTGTTCGCGACTAAGCAACAGGATTTTTAGTTTTACCTAAGTACTCTTCTGTACTTGCCTCATATATCTTTGCCTTACTTCCAACCTTTATTTAGCACTTTTTAAAGATTTTATTTATTTATTTGAGAGAGAGACAGAAAGCAAGAGAGAGCACAAGCAGGAAGGAGAGGGAGAAGCAGGCTCCCCGCTGAGCAAAGAGCCCGATGCGGGACTCAATCCCAGGACTCTGGGATCATGACCTGAGCCAAAGGCAGACGCTTTAACCCACTGAGTCCCCCAGGTGTCCCTAGCACTTTGTTTGAACTTTTTGTACACAGTATGTAGAGGGGAGATGGGGAAAGAACTTGGCAGTAGGCCAGGGCGAAAGGAGTCAGGTATCCAGTATGATGTTCCCGCGTAGGGAACATTGGCCACAGTGATGTCTAATGCTCAGTTTAAAGATACTGTTCATTTGGGGCATCTGGGTGGCTCAGTCATTAAGTGTCTGCCTTCGGCTCAGGTCATGATCCCAGAGTCCTGGGATCGAGCCCCGCATCAGCTCCTAGCTCAGCGGGAAGCCTGCTTCTCCCTTTCCCACTCCCCTTGCTTGTGTTCCCTCTCCCACTATGTCTCTCTCTGTCAAATAAATAAATAAAATCTTAAAAAAAAAGATACTATTCATTCTGTGATGATACTGCCCCAGATATTCAGGATCATTGTTACCCCAATGGGTTGAATTGTGGCTCCCCTAAAAAGATATATTCACATCCTAACCCACCTGTAAATGTGACCTAATTTGGAAAAAGGGGTTTTGCAAATATAATTAAGGATTTTGAGATGAGATCATCCTGGATCATCTGGATGAGCCCTAAATCTAATGAATGATAAGTGTCCTTATAAGAAACAGAAGAGGGGTGCCTGATGGCACAGTTGGTTGAGCATCCAACTCTTGGTTTCTGTTCAGGTCGTGATCTTGGGGTCATGAGTTCGAGCCCTGCGTTGGGCTCTGAGCTCAGCATGGGGTCTGCTTAAGATTCTCTCTCTCTCTCTCCTTCCCTCTCCTTCTGCCACTCCTGCTCATGTTCTCTCTCTCTAAAATAAATAAATAAATCTTAAAAAAAAAAAAAGGAAAGAAACAGAAGAGGGGCACCTGGCTGGCTCAGTGAGTAGAGCATGTGACTCGATCTCAGGGTTGAGTTTAAGCCCCATGTTGGATGTAGAGATTACTTAAAAATAAAATCTTTTTTCTTTTTCTTTCTCTTTTTTTTTTAAAGAGAGGGAGCACAAGCAGGGGTAGCGGCAGGCAGAGGGAGAGGGAGAAGCAGGCTCCCCCGCGAGCAGAGAGCCCAATGTGCAGCTCAATACCCAGGACTCTGGGATCATGACCTGAGCCGAAGGCAGGCACCCAACCGAGCCACCCAGGCGCCGCTAAAAATAAATTCTTTTTTTTTTTTTTAAAGATTTTATTTATTTATTTGAGACAGAGAGAATGAGAGCCAGAGAGCATGAGAGGGGGGAGGGGCTGAGGGAGAAGCAGACTCCCCGCCGAGCAGGGAGCCCAATGCGGGACTCGATCCAGGGACTCCAGGATCATGACCTGAGCCGAAGGCAGCCGCCCAACCAACTGAGCCACCCAGGCGCCCTAAAAATAAATTCTTAAAAACAAAAAAGGAAACAGAAGAGGAAAACATAGAGGAGAAAGCAAAAAGACAGACAGAGATGGAGCCAGAGGTTGGAGTGATGTGGCCTCAGACCAAGGGATGCCGGGGGCCACCAGAGTCTGAAAGAAGCAAGAAAGTATCCTCCCCTAGAGCTTTCAGAGGGAGCCGGGCCCTCTTGTCACCTTGATCTCGGACTTTGGCCTCCAAAACTGTGTGAAAATAAATTTCTGTTGTTTTCTGGCACCAAGTTCGTGGTTGTTGGCCATGACAGGCCTAGGAAGCTAATCCAGGCCCCCGGGCCTTGTGTTGGTGGAGCTTTGGGAAGGCAGGAGCGGGTACAGTGAAGGCTGCCACAGGGCGTTAATGGGACAAGATCTTTTACTGAAGATTGCTCAGGAGCCAGAGCAGGGGCTTCTCCTGTCCCGTCGCACATCAGGCGCTAATTGGGCTTCCCGATCTGTACCCTCCCACACAGCTCACTGATCCTGTGCGTCTCTCCTCTTCGCCCCCAGCAGCTCTGTTTTCCGTGCTACTCAGCCCGCCGGCAGCTTGCTTCCTGGTCTCAGCTGAACGAGGGTGCCGTCCTTACTGACCGGCGATTTTCCCTGCCTCGTCTGGTGAGCCCTAGGGAGTCTCGGGTTCCGAGGAGTTCTCTCCTTACAACCAGCAGCGTCTTCACTAAGGCACAAGGTATGGAAGGAGCCGCAGTGGAGGGAAAGAGGATTGTTTCCACTGACAGATGCCAGCCCTGGGCCGGGCTCCTCATGATGCACCCCTCTGGGCTTCTCACTGCCTCCCCACTCCCCACCCTCCCCCCAGGAGCTCTCTCTAAAAAGTAATGAGGCCTAAACGAATGCCTGGAACACATGGAGTAAACCTCGGTATTTCCTGCGACTTAATAGTTATTGGAATGGAATGAAGGAGTGGATGCCGTGAGGTGTAAACAGGTCCCTGGACGCCCGGGGCCGCTCTCCACTGCGGCAGTTTGGCACCTGCTGGCCAGGAGTGGAGGGTGCTGTGCAACCGGCGGGTCATGGCTGTCTGGTGACTCTGCCGTGAGCCACGCACCACGGCTTCACAGATTTCCGACGTGGCCCCGCCTCGTGCCCGGCACTTAGCAGGTGCTCAGGAACCGTGTCAAGCTGGCCCGTGAGTGTGACCTGCACATGTGGTTAGCTCCCACTCAGTACTGCCCTGACACCCAGCAAGGGGCTGTCCCCTGCTCTAGGCTCACGCCTCAGGGGCCTTGTGCTTTGGAGTGCATTCCTCAAAGGCATCCTCTAATGGTGTCTGGAATGGGGGGGGGGGGGCAGCAGTAGTATTCAGGCCTGGTACCCTCAGGCCATACCTTGTCCTACGTTAAGTCCTGGTTGCCAGAAAACCAGGGAAAAAAATTTTTTTTAGATTTATTTATTTTTAGAGAGAGAGTGAGCATGTACAAGTGGGGAGAGGGGTTGTAAGGAGAGGGAGAGGGAAAGAAAATCTTCAGCAGACTCTCCACTGAGCACAGAGCCCAACCCAGGACTTGATCCCGTGACCCCAAGATCATGACCTGAGCCAACGCCAAGAGTCAGACGCTCAACCAACAGAGCCACCAGGTGCCCCTACCTCAAAATGTCCTAAGAACCACTCCGCCTGGCTAGGGCTGGCAGTGTCATCTAGGTGGAGTTCCCTGAGCCTGAACTGGGGTCCACATGGGTTCTTGGTTCTCTTTCTCCCCTTCTTTCAAAGTGGTCTCTAACCCTCTACCACATTTATGGAGTTGACCAGATGACCTGAGAAGATCATGCCTGTGGAGTGTTCCTAGGGTCTTGTGGCTAAGACCTGCTTCAGAAGGATGGTGTAGGAGCAGATCACTCCCTCTGGCTGGTGTGGTATTTCCTTTGTGGTATCACATGAAATCACATCTGCAAAATGATGCTGACACACAGATTTTAGGTGACTCTCATATCAGACGCAGGAGGGGTACAGAGCTCTGAGCTATGAATGGTTTACCACTGACCGTTGGGTTTGACCCACATATATGGGCCTGTGCATTGGCTTTTGCGCATCTGTGTTCAGACTATAGTACCACCGCTGGTCTGCGGCACCCATGGGTCTTAGGGTAGCAGCAAGTGTCCTTACTCTGCACTGTCTTCTCCTGACCCAAACCACTCTGCAGGCTTTGGGTCATGTGTCAGTTTTCTGAGTGTAGTTGTGCTGACTCATTGTTCTGCAACACCCATGAGCTCTTCCTATTGATGAGGAGCAAGGGCAAGCTGAGGACAAAGCACAAGCTGGCATCCTGCGACTCCCCCCCCCCCCCTTGGGTGGGAAATGTGTGACATTCCTCCTGGAAACTCCCTACTATCTGAATGTTAATGCTTTGCTAGAGGGAAAAACAACCGTAGCTTGACAATAGCAAGGCCTCCGGGATCCTGAGAGTCTTCTTTAGCATATGAAAGTCTTTTTGGACACCTCCCTTTTTCCTTGCCTCCCCCAACTCCCAAGTATATAATCAGCCATTCCTCACAACCCCTTCCTGCCTGTGTGTCCTGTTCCCTTGCTTTAATAAGATCCCTTTTTTGCACCAAAGACGACATCTCAAGAATTCTTTCTTGTCCTTCAACTCTAGACCTCACCAGCATTCCAAAACTACATCATTATCAATGTCCTTTCTTGCCTCTAATTGATAAGGCAAATCTTACTCTTCTGGGTTAGCCTTAAGCTGTGCTGGTTGAGGACAAACATTCTTTGCCCAAATGATACTGTTCTTGTTCCGCCCATGGTCCCCTTGTCTATGAAATAGATCACATTTTAGGAATGCAGTGATTGCAGCTCAAAGAGTTAAAGAGAAGACACAGTTGGACACTATAAAATTCTAAATGGTAAATTTAACATGACCAAAAATGAGGTATCATTCACAGATTACCCATAAGCTGGGTAAGACTTCTATCAGTGGCCATCATCGATGAAGCACTACCTTTGAGAGTGTCCATGGAAGCCATTAATCACTGGCAGCAGGATGGAGAGGCAGCCCCTCAGTCACAGTGTAACCAGCATTAAATAAATGGTATTAGGAAAATGCAGAAGCTAGATCTATATTGTTTCAGTATAAACAGGGTCTGAAGAGTATGGCATTGTAAGCACTAAGTTGCTGCCTTTTTCTCATAGGGGGAGATATAATATCCCAGAACAGCACATTCGACAGTAAAGAACAGGAAGAGATGGATACCACAAAGAATCTATATGTGTACTGATTGAACAATAAACATAAAGTCATACCCATTATCCCCAGTCTTCTCAATAAATCCCTACAACTCATATGGGCCCAGGAATTTTCTATTTCTAATCAAATTGTTTATATGGGCAGCGCTTCCCAAAACATCTTTGTCAAGGGCCCCGTGTACCCTAGGGATATTCCTGTTCCCATTTCCAGGTAATGGTTTCTTTCTGGAGCTCACATGTGGACCTCACACCCATTCATTCTCCTTCTAGTATTCACACCCCAATTTTCCTCTTGAGAAAACACTCCGCCCCATCATCACTCCACATGGAATCTGATGAAACTGAACTCACCCTCCATTCTGGGGGTGAAACTTCTAACTTAGCACATCTCATTCCTCTGGCCCCAACAGTTGGTTTGTGGATGGGCACATGACCCAGCCAAAGCAAATGAGACATAGTGAGACTTACTTGTGATTCTGGAAAGGAGACTCTGCTTCCTATGGTATGTACAACCTAAGAGTACGTAATAGCTGGATTCGCTACTGCCTTCTTGCTATCACAAAAAGCCTGGAACTCAAGCCAGCAACTGAAGAAGAACAAAATAGGGGTAGAGGGAACTAGGATTTGATGAGCTCATCTGATCTCCTGATCAAGCTGCACCTGAAGCCAAACACACTTGGCCTGTGAGCCAATAACGTATCCTTTTACATAAGCAGTTTTAGTTAGATTTCCTATTACTTGCAGCCAGACTAAACCCAACTGATTATCACATTTGAGAGCAGTTGCCTTTATTGACCATATGCCAGTGGCTTTTCAATCCCATTTTTTTGGCTTCCTAACAAAATGGTATCATGAAATGTCCATTGTCCTCTGCCTGGTTTCTATTCCTGCCTCTTTCCTGCCCTCCAACTGAGACCTCTTGACATCTACTGCAGGCTCAGCCCTTCTCCAGTTACTAAGGGGAAATTCTGCCCTAAATTGAAGAGGTCGATAACTCCAGCCCCAGGACAGACTCAACTGAATCATTCTTTCCCATCCTGTAGCCTAGGTTCCTCACTCATCAAGTTTTAGGGTCTCAGTACAAGTCATGTGCCTGAGATTTTTAAACTGCAATAACCAAATAATCCAATTAACAGATGGGCAGAAAACATGAACAGACATTTCTCTGAAGAAGACATACAGGTGGCCAACAGACACATGAAAAGATGCTCAACATCATCATCAGGGAAGTGCAAATCAAAGCCACTGAGATACCACCTCACACCTGTCAGAATGGCTAAAATAAAAAAAAACAAAACACAAGAAACAAGTGTTGGTGAGGATGTGGAGAAAAAGGAACCCTCGTGCACTGCTGGTGGGAGTGTGAACTGGTGCAGCCACTTTGGAAAACAGTATGGAGGTACCCAAAAATTTAAAAATAGAATTACCATATGACCCAGTAATCACACTGCTGGGTATTTACCCAAAGAATAGAAAAACACTAATTCGAAAAGATATGCATCCCTATGTTTATTGCAGCATTATTTACAATAGCCAGATTATGGAAGCAGCCCCTGTCCTTCGATAGATGAATGGATAAAGACGTGGTATAAAATAGGGTGCCTGGGTGGCTCAGCTGGTTAAGCGTCTGCCTTTGGCTCAGGTCATGATCCCAGGGTCCTGGAATCAAGTCCTGCACTGGGCTCCCTGCTCAGCAGGGAGTCTGCTGCGCCGTCTGCCCTTCCCCCCATTCATGCTCATGCTTGCTCGTTCCCTCACAAAAATAAATAAAACATCTTAAAAAAAAAAAGATGTGGTATATATACGCAATGGAATATTATCCAGCAATAAAAAAATGAAATCTTGCCATTTGCAACAAAATGGAATGATCTAGACATAGATTAGAGAGTATAATGCTAAGTGAAATAAGTTGGTCAGAGATACGGTATGATTTCACTCATGGAAATTAAGAAACAAAACAAATGAACAAAGAAAAAAAAGAAACTAAAAAACAGACTCTTAACTATAGTGAACAAACAGGGGAGGTGGGGGGGAATGGGTGATATAGGTGACAAGGACTAGAGAGTACATTTATCTGGATGCGCACTGAGCAGTGTGTGGAGTTGTTGAATCACTACGTTGTACCTGAAACATAACACTGTATGTTAACTACACTGGAATTAAAATTAAAAAAAAAAAAAGTGTTGGGAGAAAAAACCCACCAACCTGGGAATCTGTACCTGCTAAACTATCCTTCACAACAAACAGAGAAATAAGCCAAAATTGAAGAAATGTGTTGCCAGTCTCCATGTCTTGCAAGAAGTTCTTTAGAGAATGGCAATGATACAGGTCAGAAACTCAAGTCTACATAAAGGAAAAGCTTTTAGGAAGGAATAAGTGAAAGTAAAATTTAAAAATGGTCTTTTTTGGGTGCCTGGGTGGCTAGTCGGTTGGGTGTCCACCTTCGGCTCAGATCATGATCCCAGGGTCCTGGGTGTG